ATTTTTGATATTTTACTAAATATAATTCACATAAAAACCTAAACACCTAAGTAACATATAAAAAGTTTTCTAGGTTATATAACAACACCAATTAAGAATTTATCAAAAACGCCTCTTAGGTGTTTAAATTTTTATGTGGCTTTTATTTATTAAAATACCAAATAGCTCCTTTCTCAATGGCAGAAATCTAAGGGTAGCTCCCTTAGATCCAACCAAAAGTTGTGTTTTAACTTTTTAGAAAATTACCTCTTTACTAAACCACAAGACAATAATGAATTATGATGAATGATGAATCTATCATGTGGACCTTGGGATCACATTTATCCCATCTCATATCAAATAAAAATCTTACACATGCCTAATAAGGTTTATATAAAGACTAATTAATCCTATGAGATTACCTAATCCTTCAAATTTGATGTAGTCAAGAATTTTACATTTTACGTATTTTTATTTTTTTAACATTATGAATTTTATTTTGTATTGCACTATGATGAAAACTACCCATGATCATGTTGGGTTCGGTGCTCTCAGGTTAGTTCACATCATTTTTCTTGCCACTTGTGTTGATCTTGCTTCCTTAATCCTTGGTGGCTAGTTGGGTATTTAATTTGGGTTGTTTTTTCTTATTGGGCTTAGCTCATTTCTTCCCTAAGGTTGGTGGCTGCTTGGGATTTTTGTACTTGTTGGCTAATTCGGTTTCCCCATGCTGGCTGACTGTTTGGTTTCCCCATGGTGGTTGTTTGGTCTTCTCCATGTTGGTTGTTTGGTTTCCCCATGCTAGATGCTCGGTTTCCTTGTTGTTTGCTTGGTTTCCCTCCTGCTAGCTGCTCGATTTTTTTCCCTTGTTGATCCCTGTGCTGGTTGCTTTGGCTTCTCCATGTATGGGTTGATTTTGAAGGTTTTTAGTGGTTGTTTTGGTGGCACATTTATGTGAGTTATTTACTACTATTTTCCCTCAATTATTCTATAAATAGTGGTTGAATCTCTTTGTGTAGGAGGAGAATTTGGTGAAGAAAAAAATATAACATGAGGGATTCCTTCGTGGCTTGCGAGCTGGTCTTCTCCCTATCCCTATTAGTTCGTCTTGGTCTTCTTTCTACTTCTTCTCCCCATGGTTTCCCTTCAATTAAAAAAACATGATGGTTTCTTAGTTTACAAGCTGGTCTTCTCCCTATCCCCTATTACTTCGTCTCGATCTTCTTTCTACTTATCTCCACGGTTTTCCTTTCGCCTGTATCTTTTTCTCTAAACTATTTTGAGTACTAAGTTGTGATATGCCATGTTCTGTTGGTACTTGCCGGAGGAGCAAAGTCTTTTGTTGGATCATAATTTCTGTGGTGGTTAGCCGGTTTGTCGTTTCTTTTAAGCGCCTTCCCTAGTTTGTGTTTGCATGTGAGGAGATCATTCGTAGTTGTTCTGAGTGTTTATAGTTTATGTGTTTTGTTATTTGTTCTTGCTTATGCGACTTCCAAACAAATTTACTATATTAGTTTTCTACTAAGTGTCATCATCAAGATTTTGAAAACCGGGCCGGACAACGAACCAGAAGAAAGAGAGATTCACGATTCGACCGGTCGAACCAGGGTCGAACCGGATGACGTAATAAATAATAATATTATTAAAAATTTAATAAAATTAATAAAATAATGAAATATAATAATCATATAATTTCATATAAATTATTGTTAATTTATATTGCATATTTAGATTTAATTTATAAATATAAATTATTTAAAAACTCTCAATATAAAATTATAAATATAATTAAATATTTTAATATAAAAGTATTTCATTTTGTAAGTGTATATATAAAACTAAAAATGACTTTACTTTGTATGGTTTAGTCCCACATCACTTGGAAGTGTTGTTTTGTATTGTTTATATACCTCTTTGCTTTCACTCATGGCAAGAGCTCATATGGAGTAATGAAGACATATGAGATGGTTAAATTAAATATTTAATCATGTCATTAATACAAATTTAGGAGTTTTATATTAACATTTATATTTATTAAATATTAAATAACTTATTTAATTGTTTATATTTTAAAAAACTTGAACCGGCCGATTTTAAAAAACCCGGACCGGTTCACTGGTTAACCGGTGGTTTTTGCCAAAACCGGCTGGTTTGAAGCAAAGTCGGTTTTCAGATTGAACCGAACCGGCCTTCAGACCGGTTCATAGTTGAACCGGCCAGTCCCGGTCCGATTTTAAAGCAATGGTCATAATTTTGGTTTTGCTTATGTAATATTGAAAGGAAGTATCTTAATTTGCATTCCTAGTGTTCTTCTACTTGGTTTAAGAATTTAGGTTGCATCAATATCATATATCATCAATTGAGTTAATTTAAAAATTCTCAAAAATAAAGTAAAAGAGTTTTTCGACTAGGGAGGCTACATTTGAAACAACATAACAACTCAATCTAGTCAAACTGAGTTCAAGTCATTACTAGTTGTAGTTCTATTGAAAAAACCGTGAATCTAATTAGATAATCAAATCTAAATAGAATTCGTCTAACCCAAGACCTAATTGGAAGTTTCTAGCATTCCCTTAGCAAGATTTGAACAATTCATACAAGGAAAACTACTCAGCCTAAAAGTACTATAATAAAATTCATAAAAGATAAAGACTAATTATATGGAATAGTACTATAATAAAACTAATAAACTATTTATTAAAAAAAAAAAGTTCTAACATGAGGCTCCATGGTCATACTAATACAATGAAATCTAGAATATAATAGCCAATAATAAAAACTAAAGCAGTTGAACAGATATACCCTAAATTCGGATAAAATATACTCAGCTAGGCCTAAAAAATAGTAAACATCTAACACCCACCCTTTTTCCGCATGAACTTCACTTGTAGTGTCTAACTCAATGGAGTAAGTATAAACACAGTTGGAAAAAGTAAGCGCATCACATGTTGCATATAAAACATACATTACACGATGAAAAATGGAAAGCCTAAGACAATAAACTATTTGACAAATAAGAGAAGTTCCACGAGAAACATAAGGTGATCAACATATCGATGAATAACTCAAATTTTAATACTTCATGACTAATCCAAATACTTTGTGCCGACTCTAAATTGCCCTATATTCAATCCAATTATTCGGCATAACACATTCATTTCCATGAATAGGCTCTTGTAACTCACTTGATTTAGTTATCACTTTCTCTTAGCCACCTACAAGAGCCGCTCCTTTCTCAGACATCTTATCCAAGCAGATCAACCCCAATCCTCATCAGATTATAGATCCATAGACCCTTGGATCTTCGGCCGCCTCTGATATCACGTATGTCAAGTAATCTTCCATCTATTATCATGCATAAGTACATCACAATGTTATATCAACATGATCAATATTATGCATTTCACACCATATCATCATTATTATGCATTTCACAATGAGGAGATTCATGTCCTCGGAAATATGAAGATTAACAACATGCATTTCATGATATACTTAATGATCATTATTATCATATCATAACTGAGAGAATTCACACCAAAAGAAATAGCTAGAAAATCCTCAGTCATACAAGAAACGTATTATACTTACTAGATTATGAATTCCCAGCCTCATGAGAAGTCATAAAGATCTGAATCTGATACATGAACCTCCAAAACTATCCAGCCTCCTAGGCACACCTAGTCACCTTCCTAAGAAGAACTCTTCAGCATCAATAGCTCTCTCCTCCTTAAACAGATGCATAAAAAGATGATTAATGGCTAGTAAGGTGACAAGTGGCACTCATACAAATGCAAGTTGTATTGGTGGAAGAATGAATCCTCTGAGATACATGGCTGCTTAAATTCAATAGAGACCATTGAACCAGCCAACAGCACGTAATACACCATTTTGCTCAGTTGTTGAATATTTCTTAGCAACTCAACACTCTATCTTCCTGGCCTCTATAGTCCATTCAACTCTACTCCATCTGCTCAGCTGAGTACAAGTCTACCAGGTTCAACAATCCAATTTGGTTGATCAACCTAACCATAACCGCTTATTCTAAGCTAGAAAATATTAAGGATAAAAAGGTCAAGCATTCACATAAATCATAAAAAATAGGCCAAAAACATGTGTTATTATAGCTATTGGTGCTATTTTCTAGGACGGGAGATGAAATAGAATTTCTGCTAAAATAGGAAGGATTAGTTCTAGTTCACTCAATGGATTTAACCACACACGGTATGTATTAATGGAATAGGAACTCACAATATTAATGATGGGTTAATTTGTAATGTCCATATGCATAATATCCACCATATACATCTCCATGATCAGTATCACTACTGACTGAAAAAGTAACTGAAATTGGGACGATGCTATCTTAGCCCTTGTTTGGTCATGGTTTTTAAATGCTTCAGTTTTAAAATTTTAAAAAAAAAACTAACATAAAAAAATCCTAATTAGTGATGGGAACATTTTATGGAAAACATTATATTATATGTGCACCTTATTCATGATATTACTAAATAACAAAGCTAACAGAGAACCCTGTTCATCTAGGAAAAAAATGCTTAACTTATTTTGCACTAACAACAAAACAATAACACGATATTACTAAATAAAGCCTTAATTTAGTCGTGTTTAAATATTCATCACTATATTCACAATCTTAACATTATCAAGCATGTACCAACTGTGAATAATACCACAATTACCAGAGAACAGGTCAAATTGAAATTTACACCAAGGACCCTCATGTCAAAAGTTTTCAGAACAATCATACATGTCAGTCCTCCGTCCCAAAAAGATCAATAACACCCTAAAAATCCCAGATGAGATTTCAAGATACGTCAAGAACAACCAATTTCAAGCTACCAGTATTCAGCATAAAAGAGAAAGTTTGCCCAAGAAAAATCTTATCTAATAACAGTAGATTCAAGCCTTTTTTTTATTATAAAATTCAAGTCCAAACAAAATATATATGCACCAAGCATTCCATCTTAAAACAAAATATTTCGAGCTTGTAAGAAACTTACCAGCTCAGAATAAGTTAAATCATAAATATCTTCAGTGATCCACCCGTCAAGATCAAAATCAGATGATAAACGATGTCCATTTGAATATAACCAGCGGCCTTTCTCCACTTTCCTACAGTTTGGACACTGCATCACACCTTTTGCATTAAATGCTGAGCCAATGCAATCTGAATAAACAGCAGAGAGTTGGTCAGAACTATTAAGAAAATATCAACAAGATCAATAACACTCAGTGCCCCAATATAAAGGGTTATTTTGTTATTAATAGACAGTAGTGAACAAATGCTTATCTATGGAAGTCAAACAGGATTTTATGCCAATAACCTCAAAGACAAAAGTAGCTAACCCAGTGCAACTAGAACATCAGTTCTTATCAAACCTAGCAGGTACAGTGAGCAGGATGAGTTGCATGGATAGGAAGAAATTTGCAAGAAACTAAAAAGGAAATGGAAAAGAATCAAGAGGTAAATGGAATGAGCAATGTGAGATCAGGAAGAAGAAAAATATGATAACACTATATGTTCATAAATCACAGGAATGAAAAAGATCAAAGTTCTCAATTCTATCAAAATAAATCCAGGCAATTAGCTTTACAGTTAGTAAGGTACAAAATATACTGATGTAGATAGAAATACAGACAAGGGGACTCCTTGGGTGTTAATGAACTTTATGGAGGGGGGATGTAAACGCAAAGAAAAGTTTACTCTTGTCAATAAATGTTTATTTGGATTTGTTTTTTATTTGGGGGGGTAACAAGTGTCAATGCACAAATTTAATATAGCCGGGATTCGAACCCAAGATCTTGACAACAACATCCAAGCTCTTTACAACCTGAGCTAACTATTCATAAAATTGATAAAATCGCTAAATTTTTTTTGCTTTCTTTTTATGCTTGTGAGCTAGTTTACTATGGATTTCTTCAAGTGGAAGTACAAATTTTCTGGGGAAGTTATCTCCTTATACCAATGTGAGGCCTGGATCGTATTTCGTGACATTTTTCCTTGATATTTTTTTTCTAAATTATTGGTAATTGATTTTACTAGTGTGTTGGATTTTAGTGAAACCAATTACAGCAAAATTATCAACTGCAATGTGATTTTGAATCAAGTTGTTGATTTTTGTAGTCTTAAATTTGGCATTAAATTTTTTTATTAAGATAATCAATGAATTTAATGAGGACATCGTCAGATATTTCGACACATGTACCTTCAGGAGACGCCGGAGATCAACGGCCACGATCATGAGTTTTATTTTGAGTCATTTTATGTAATAGTTTATTTGATTTTTATGTTTTTCCGTTTTTGCCCTTATGGGTATTTAGTCGTTATTGTAGCCCGAGGGGCATTTTAGTCTTTTGCTTTCTTGTCATTTTGAGGCCTATTTATATGGCCCTTTTCTTATGTAATAGGAGAGTTTTGATGAATGAAAATTTACAACTTATGTTCTCTTTGTGAGTGCAAACCTCCACGATCTCTTAGTGAGTTCGTAGGAGAAGCTAGATCTCTTTGTGAGTTCTAGGTTTTTCTCCTTCTACTATTTTCCTTTATTTCTCTTGGTCAATTCATCATCGTGGAGATTCGGATTGAAGCACTTGTGGAAAATTGGAATTCACTCCTTGAATCCTTATATTTTCCATACTTCTTCCTCTCCTTGGACCCTTGCCGCCTTGTCGCCGCCCCTTTCCC